ATTTCCCACTCCCATCCCTAAACCTTGCATGAAATGAAAAACCACTAAGGGTTTAAAATAATACCCTTCTTTTTTTGCCACTACTATTACAGCCATTGACAAGTAAAAAGGCTGAAATATTTTGATGCTTATATAACACAAACCTTTCAGTAAAATACTTCTAATTTCCCAAAGGATGATTTTCCTATCAAAGACTTCACTTCTGACGTTGTTTTTTTAAAAAAGCCCTGCTCGTCAGTAAACAAATAAAATTGCTCGTGCACGCTAAAGAAAATAAAAAAACCAAAAGTGGTATGTGATTTTCTTGGTGGTCCTGCTGTGAGGTGACACAAGCATAAAATACAAAAGCCTTGCATTTCATAATGGTTTGGAGATGAGTTCATACCCTTCCTTCATGCCTCTCTGATATCAGTCCATTATCTGAGGAAGGAACAGGCTGATGTTCTGATACATTACAAAAATAGACATGAAATACCTAATTTGAAGATAGGTACTCAGAACATGTTTGAGTTCAAGCTCTGAAGTGAGAGAAAACAATGCTGACACCAAGTGGATGAAAACACTTCTGGCTCCATCCTATTGCAACCATGAGACACATGAAATCCCAGAGCTGCAAGTCTTAGGTTTAGGTGTTGTGGTGAATTTTTTAAGCATCAGAGAGGACCCACAGATCCTCTGAAAGCAGAAATCTGTGTACTCCTAATGTGTAAACTAGCTGATTAATTATAGTTCTCTTCCTTGTAGTGCAGCTGATCTTAGTAAGCAGAGCAAATGGCTGATGCTCTGAAAATACCAGCTATTACTCTCCTTCACAAATGGCAGATAAAAGTCCTTAATCTGTAACCTATATAATTCAGTGGGCCTGACTGGCTATGACAGGAGCTTTTAATATGCCCTGTTCACAGAAAAACTAAAAACAGGCATTCAGAGACTGAGAAGTAACAAAGATGAGTCTCCACTGATACGGTTTCTGTACAGCCTGCAAGACACATTTTCCAAGCCAGAAAAGGCCTGTATCAGTGACCTGTTTGAGAAAAAGCTTCCCCTCTCACACACTTTTTATCATTATTGAATGACAGTGATCGGTGTAATCAGCCAGTGTGTTTGCCTGAATTCTGTATTTGTGTTACTGATTGCAGGAAAAAAATCCCAGGATTTCAGTTTGACCAGCTCTCCTCTTCTGCCCTCAAGCTGCTTGTTACAGTAAAACACAGAAGATTCTGTGTTTCATGTCACACAGAGCACACTCTCTCCTGCAAATATGGTCTCCTCTTGCAAGCCTTCCCCAGAGAAAAAAGTAAATTACAAAAATATACACATTGAGAGGAGAAGGAAAAGAGCAGAGAGCAACAAACTCCATTAGCTCATAGAAAGGGGTTGAAGTCCCTGCCTACACTACAGCAGTTTTTACCAAATTCTTATACCTATAGTCAGTAAAATATTCTGCACTGCTTACCTGAAAAAAAATCCTTACAATCTATAACCAACAGTTTTTGTGGGATGTAGCTCCTATTCTGATCTTCAACGTATGGCATTTTTTTATCTGGTCTTCTGTTTTGGGCAGTACTCAAATATAAAATTGAAACATACTATTTAATAAGCCCATGTATTTTTGTGGACTGGGAAGCAATATGAAGAAGCCTTTCTATAACATAACAGCAATCCCTACAGAAATATTGACAAATCTCCTGGCAGTTCACATGGTATACACAGAATTTGCTATGTTCACATCTAAATCCAACTAAAAATTATCATTTCTAAGCAAAGAATTTACATGAAAGAAATTAATGAAGACCTATGCCAGTTAAATTTAGGAAAAGCTGTTAATAGCAACAAGTAAGAATTGGAACTATATTCCATTATCCAAGAAAAATTATTTTTACAAGACAGTTTCATCTAGCCTGGAAATTTCAGTTTAGTAGTTCATAAGATAATGTCTGTTTGGTTGTCCATTCATTTTGAAAGGTTTCAGCTAATTCCACAAGCACAGAATTATCAAAGGAAAATATCAGTTAAATTATTGTTGTCCTCCAAATTGAGGACAGCTCATAGTTCTTTATTATGGCAACTTCAGATGAGAGACAAGTACCACATCTTTTTCACAGAACGGGGTTAATGCCAACATGCCCATTTCCTCTTTCAAAAAGGCTGAAAATCAGAGATTAACAAACTTCTCCAGACCACAAAAGCCTTCCCAACAAAACCATAATTTGAGTAGATAAAGTCTTCATGACATATTTAGTTTCACTGTTACAACCAACTCCAAACCACATTTCAGTTTCAGAAATTCATTCTGAGGTGTCTGTGGTCAGCCTGCAGGTTTAAGATACTGTCCAGCTCTCATTCCCCAGTCTGCTGGATCTCTGCAATTGCTTTATAATGGGGTTCCATGATTGTAAGGAGTAGCTGCATGAGATCCAATCAATAGGCAGTGCCTGCAGCCTTGCTGTTATATAGTGAAGTGTTCATAAAAAGGACGCAGGAATTTAAAAAAAAAACCCCTACCAAACAAAAAACAAACAAAAAAAAAACAAACAAACAAAAAAAAAAAACAACAAGAAATGAAACTCATTTCCTCAGGATGTATGCTTTTCTTCTAATGAATCCCATGCTTTAATGGAAATACATGCAGTGGCTTGAATGTACCCACAAAGGCACGATTCTGTTTATTTCCAAGACAAAGGTAGTGTGCATAATTCAGGAATGATTTATTTATGGCTTCTACACAAAAAAAAGAGATATGAAAAAACACACTCTTGGACTAGAAGCAAAAAAAAGTTCTATAGTCAAATTTGACCTAGAACATAAGATTCAGCAATGATGAGGGCAAACATGACAAATTGCTATTAGCAAGGTTTGGTTCATAATTTAATTACACTATAAAAGTTAAGCTAATCTTGCACACATCCATCACAGATAGTGATATGCTTCAAGTTAAATACAGTTATGTAAGAGAGGCCTCAGGTCAAAACAAACATCACAGTGTCTAACTTCTTTCTGAAGAATGATTTAAGCCAAACAGGAAAATCAGTTTAGTACCAGTGCAGTTTGCAAGCTAATTAAGTAGGTTAAAAATAAAAAAATAAAAAAAAGATACCCCAACAACAATAGGGAAAAAAAAAATCACAGGAATTAAGCAGTCCAAATGTTAGTATCTCTGTAAATGCTTCAAGATATTTCATGAGAAACAGCCAGTAAAAGCAAGTTTAACTTCCAGGAAGCAGCAAGGATCTGAGCCAGATTTGCCATTTTACTTTTTGCTTGCTTTGCTGGAACTAGAATATACACTTTTTACAGGTTTAGCTTGTAAACCTAACTCTGATGTTTCCAGTTTAATAGACTTTGAGCAATTGTTGTGTTATGAAAGATGAAGGATACCTATCCAATGTGCTGGGTTTCCTGTCAGAAATTACAAAAACAAGATCAACCACAGAATACTGAATTCCCTTCTCACCCACAGATGGGATTTCTTTCATAAGCTTACCTCAGAGCAGGAGAGTGCTCATGGCTATGCCTTGTCTGAGGTTTTATTAAAGAACTTGAAAGGACATTTTCAGCAGAATTCTTTCCCACATCACCACAATCCCAGGCAGACTGTGACATTTTACTGAATTGCAGGGAGTGAATTTGCTTCTAAAACAAAAGCGCTGGAATAGGAAGCCAGGTTTTCTGCCTTCTCTAATACCTTTCCAATTTTCTTTAGCTGCCAATGCTGTTTCTAATTTTGCAGGCAGAAGCAGATACAATAGGATAGCTAATACTTGGTCCTTGCGTGCTCATTTGAGTACATATTGCAGGAATGCTCAAAGGTGGCAGTGACACGGGACACCTTCAGAGAGTAACGTTTGTGCTCCAACACTGTGCTTGTGTAAAACAACCCTAGATTTACATTCTGGGACATGTCCTGTGACACAGCAAGACTATTTCAGGAACAGCCTTGTATCAGTGCATTTTGTTCTCTGTACTTACAGCTGTACAGGATTTATTTCAAAAGAGAGTTTCCAAGGAGCATTACAGTCTTAATATTCAGTTTAAGATATGTAATATGCTCTAAATACTGAATTTGCCTTTGTATTAGAAGTCTGCTGGTTTTCCTTAACAGTGATACTTGGAGAAGGAAGACAGGAAATCAAGGAGTTGCAAACATAAGCAACATGATCCCTGGTTACGTGCAATGCAAATCTCTTTCATAATCCTTCATTTGATTTGGCATACTGCTATCAATCTAGTCACAAACCACGAGGATGTGTGGTAACTGCATGGTGCAGTATTAAACTGTAAGCTTTGCTACATTTTCTTCATGTCTTTTTCTGAAAACCAAGTTCAATTTAGGCAGCAATGATACCTCAGATCACAAACTGAAAACAAGACTTATACCAACCCTATTCCTAAACCAGCATTTGTCTTCCTATCATATTTTTTCCACCAGGAGGTTTTTAACAAAAAAGGCAAGAAAGGAGTCAAGGTATTAGATCCATTCTAGACAGAATATGTTCAGGGAGAGCTGAAACTACGCAGCAAGTTCTGCAAAGTTAAGAGATTTTTCACCTTTCTGATTTTGCTTTCCTGCATTGCCGATGTAAAATGAAACACACACACAAAATAAGAAGTGCTTCGCTTGAGGAAAAATCCAGTGTCTTTGATCTAAAAAACCTTGGCATTACGATATTTAAAGTGGAACAACTTGAGATTTTATTGTTGGCCTTTTATTTTTTTTTTATTTCTTTCTTTTTGTTTCAAAATCCTAATCTTAAGCACTCATGTTTCTTCTCTTAGGCATATGATGAATATTTACATTGCTGGCAACAAGCTACAGTCATTAAATACACTAGGTATAAACAATTATGTTCTCATTTCTAAGTTCCAAACTAATGAAGTAGTTTTGATCACTTGCTGAATCAATCCACATAACTTTCTTACCTGAAGGCCATCTGCTTGTCTCTGTGAGAAACAAGAGTTCCAGTCAACAAAAAGCATCTCATGGTGTTGAAGTAAATACAGCAGGAGGCCATTGTAAAGTCTCTGTTCTTCACAAGCCAAGGGACTGACAGGGATCCTAAGGGAAGAAGAGACAGATTAAGTTTAGGAGCTCTCAGATCAGGGGCTAATGTTGAGACACATAGGAACCCCCCCATTACTCAAGATAATTCAGCAAAGCAGCCAGCTGGGTGACTTGACAAAGCGGAATTCCAGCCTCATTTCCAACAAGCCTCCCAGTGACAGACCTCCAGTTTGCTGCAACAGTTCGCAACCTTTGAGTAGCAAATGAAACATGAAACTTTGAGCAGCACAGAAAAATAGCTAGAACAGAAACTGAGAAATCAAGTTTATAAAATCAAGGATCAAGAGGATCATAGAAAGCCCCAGAAATCTGCAATAACTCACTGGCACTGGAGCTGGAAGAGAGTAGGTTTGCTCTAGTTTAGTTTATGAAGGTGAACTTTGATGGCTAGAATGTCTTATTACCAGAACTGCTTAGAAAAAAAACAAACATAGGTAAAAATTGTTTTAATATTTTTATGTATTTTTAATAAATAGAAGTGGAATTTGTACTATCCACTTAAGTAGAATAAGCTGGAACAATTCAGCTACAGTGAAGGCATTTTTTTTATATGGAAGTCTAATTTCATTCCCTGAAGAAACTGTGTATTCCCCACTTAACTATTTAGAAGCCTGCAAGACATTTACATAAATGCTGTCACCATAATCCAGCTTCTCCAGCCATATTGCACCAACTCATTTCCACCCAGCACAACAGTAATATTTAAGCAATAAATTCATAAACTCTGGAGACTGACGTGGAGACATAAACACACCAGTCTTCTGTTTGCAGTACATTCATTTTTCGGGATTTTAAAGTACAAATATACATACTGGGCCCAGTCAAAATTCTTTCATTCACATTCTTCTTTTGTAAACTTACTGCTGTTTCTGTAAGAACTTGAGTTTGGGCTCTTTTTGAAAGAGGATGGTTTAAGCAGAGTTATAGCCAGGTACAACGCAGACAGATTTACAGGGTGAACTACTGTCTCATCACTTCTTTCTTTAAGACTGGCTAATAGTTCTACTTCCTGGATCCCTATTCTTCTCAGGACAGACTCAGTTTCTCCACAAAAAGCAAGCTGTCACGTAAAACCTCACTTACCAATCAACAGCCTTTCTTGCATACAACAATCCTAAGAGATTATTCATTATTTACCCAAACATCAACACCCTCAACTCACAGGTCACACAAGCAGGTATTTTAGTCTTTTGCCTTCTTTTTCAGCATCATTGTTTAACTTAGACATATTTTCCCAAATCCATTTCTACCAGCTGTTAACTCCTCACTAGCAAGTAGCACTGCACAAGCTGTTCATTAAGATAAACAGTTCTAACTCTACTTTTGGGTCCCACATTCCCTTACTAGGAGCCTGTTTTGTGCACCCAGTTATCATTTCATCTTAAAATAAATCTAAGCAATGCTCTGGGATGTCAAACTCCAGCTGGCTCCAAATATCAATGCTCATCTGCAGATGTCCAGGAGTGGCAACAGGTGTGTATTCCAAATATAGAGTATACATTTTTAGTTTTCTCTGTAGCCACCTTCCATGATGACTTTCAATTAATTTCATAAAATAATCACTTCCTGCCTCTTCAGATATTTCTACTGCTAGCAAAAACTATATTATCAGACTGGCAATAGGGCAACCATGTTTACACACTCCTAAACCTGGGAACATGTAGCTCTGTAGTCAGTTGGAGTGCAAATCAAACACAGGAGAACACTCACTACAAATAAGAAACCATTAAGACTTGATCATCAGGAGTCACATACTGGTTTCCTGGAACCTAAACCTTTCAAAGTTGCTTTGCCACAAAGTAGAAGCTAGAAAATCCATACAGTCCCTTGCCTTGCATTTGCTCCGGAGATGTGCCAAGGTTCCCTGCTGTTGGAGGCTTGCTATAAATTTGCTACAAGAGAAAGAATGAGTCAAAGCGAGTAGAAGCAAACAGCTGGTTGTTTAGAATCCCTTGTACACTCATGCCAGAACTACTTACTGAGGTTAGTAGCAAACATCTCTTTACCAAGATGAGGTGCAAACAGAGTATTTACAGAAATTTAACATCAGTTAATCTCTGATAAAAGCAAAACAACACATTCTCCTCAGGATTTACAGAGACTAGCAGGACATGAAACAGCTCACAAGAAGGATGATGAATAGCAACAGAAATAAATAGTTCAGGGCATAATCATAAAGATAACAACAGAAGTTGGTAGAAGAGTGGAGCCTAGCAACGAAAGTCTAGGGAGTAGCCAGCCTGATACTTGACTGATGAGTTCAGTTTTTGGTTCCCTTGCCTAGAAGTAGATAAGGACATGAAAGCTGCACCATGCAGATGTTAAAATTCAAGTCTCAGAAGAAAGAGATGCCAGAGTCAAAAATCTAGAAGAAAAGTAACATGAAAGGTACTGACGGAGCAACTTAACAGCAGTGAAGATAGCATAACTCAATCTCATGGGCAAAATGTAGCACAAGGGAGGAAGTCCAGTAGAAGAAATCAGGAGCTGGTTCACAAAGGAGGCTAAGGTAAAATTTTACTCAGTTATGCTTTTACTGAAACCTACCTTTTTTCTTACTCTCACTTTGGGTCCTACCACCCTGAACAGGGTAGAAGCATATAATAACATAACAGAATTCTTCTAATATGAAGGTGATTTAGTCAAATATTCGATATAAGCAGCACTAAATTAAGGGACTGCAAGAGAAGAGACAGCTTATTTAAGTTCACTTTTCACACAGTGATACTAGTTTCCTAGCATTTAGGAGTTTCCTGTGACCATGTAACTAGACTTCCAATATAATACCTGTGCTAAGGCTTATATTTTTGTGTTGCTACTACCATATTTACTAATTGTGAAGTGTATGCAGTTTATGCTTGCAAGATATAATGAGCAGCAAGTTTTATATTCTAATTTTATGCCCCCAGGGTCCATATGTGCTCTTGTGTACCAACTATTAAATATTCCAACTCGGTCACTCCAGTGAAGCTATAGGCATGACAGGTCTCTACAAATAAAAGCACACCAGATTGACAGGTGATATACAGAACTTACAAATAGATCAAAAGTTTAAAGTAAAAAGGCTTATAAACAACCTAGTTTACTTGTTTAATATCAAAGAAGAAAGAAGTAATTGCACAAAAATGCAGATTTCCAGAATACATGCACAACAGTTTTAAAAACTGCAATGAATCAGCACCATAAGTCTAGCTGACGTTATATCCAGAATATTATTTCCAACAACTGCATAGGATATACACTTCTGCAGATTAGATCTGGAGTTGTTTTTTCCATGACCTTCGCATTCTGACTGAACAAACATAGCAAGTACCCGACGTGTTTCACTTTCCAGTGAGTCTAAACTCTGGCTGCAAAATGTTTCATAATGCAGTAAATAATTGCACTAATTCTTGCTCTGAAAGACATAAAGCATATTTATGACTTTATTCCATGTGTGAGCAGACATGGGTTGCCACATTAAACTAACTTGAATTCTGCTGTTTTACGGGACAATAAAAACGGCTTATTTCTAATCATTCAAGGCCTCAGGTCACTCAGCAGGAAGCGGTAGAGCAATCTGACAGAGAGAAAATGCCAGCTGCCATGCTCTCCCCTTCACCCAACTATCAAAAAAAAAAAAAGTGATTTTTTCATAATCCTAGGAGGTAACTCTCCAAGGACAGCACAAGTTACACACTTTAAAAAAAATGAGCTCCAGACTTACTGGTTTCTCTCCCACAGCTGGTAGGATCAGAATGACTAAAAAGCTGGAGTTAATGTTCATAGGGCAGACTTCTATTTATGGTAGCTGTGTTGTCTTGACAAGTCACTGGTAGGGAAACCCGATGCTGTTTTCAAGGTTTCTCTGACAGATCATTGCCACATGCATTTAGTTTAGCACTAAGTGTACTCAAAAAAAAACCAATCAAATCAAACAGAAGGGTATGCTCACAAGCAACTGGACCATCTCCCAAAACAGAGTGGGATGCTTAAAAACTGAAATAGTGCATCAATCTATAAGGGAGCCTACTGCATTCTTATGTGTAGATACAGAAATCAGTGGGTGCACATTCAGGTAATTTAGAAATTGAGGTAAAACAATAAAATATTCTTGCATGTGTGTGCATGCACAGAAGTCCAAGGTGATGGCAAAGGGGGTCTGTTGGCAGAACAGTGACAGCACAGTCGAGTTAGTGTGGGTGTTAAGGGTCAGTCAGATTTTTTGTGAAGGCCTTCTGGCATCAGCATTTTACCTGCTTATAAGTATCACCAACAGCTAACTCTGACACTGGGAAGTAAGCCTCATCTGCCTACACTCCTTTACTAACTTTAGCATGCAGATACTAAAGAACTTAGGGAATGACTGTAGAATTACTTTGTTCCATCACTGAATATCCCCCATGGTGAAGCTTGTTCTCACTAGAGTGAATGGCATAACTCCTACTACTCTACATGCTGTTGGATTCTTCTCCCTAGCTGTACTTTTTCTAAAATAAGTGTACTTTTCCTTATATCACCTGCAAAGGCTATATGCTGATACATCTGCTGATAAGTCTATAGAGCGGGTAAACAGACACAGAGACACCTATGGAAACAGCAGCAAAAAGTACAGTTCCCCAACACAAAGCCTGTCATTGATTTCTAATACTTTTGGTACCAAATTACCTGAATATATCTTCTTAACTTACTTTGCTTGCCATAAAAAAAAAAAATATGAAAAGTAACACGTCTTTTTTACTGAACAGAAAATACTAATTGTTAATATATACATTTTGCAAAGTGGCATTGGCTTATCATTCACATTAAACTGGAACACCTGTGAGCCACTAAAGGGTTTACAAATTGTAAGACAGACATAAACATTTAAATATCCTCTAGTATCAACATGGTAGATAAAGAACTAAATCATTTCAGCTTCACTGGAGAATCCTCTATTATCAGATCACTCAAGACTGCTCTTCCTCACCACCTTGACTTGCAAGATGCATGCCCTCCCACCTTTCTTTTTTAGCACCTAGTTATGTGTTCTTTCACCATCATCCCAAAATACACCTTCTCCAGCTTCAGCCAGGAACTCATTGCTTTTGAGCTCATGTGGCCTCTGTTCGGATGTCGATTTGCATTTTAGTCATTCTGCAAGGACAGAATGAGTTACTTCTCTTTCTTGATAGAAGAGATTCCTTTCTCTGATATCAAACGCTATTTCAAGACCAAAGTCAGCCTTACCTTTTCAGAATCAAGGTTAACATCTAAATAACCTCTACACTCGGAACTGAACTTGCCTAAGAAAATAGTAGTTCTCATTAAACAGCTCTCCATCTCTCATGCCTCTTGTCTTCAGATGGTTTCTTACTGGAGGCTGGACCTGTACAGTCAGTACCTGACAGGATGAAGATGGTCAGCCATCTCAGAATTGTTACCTCCACGCATAACACACTATATAAACATTTAACTTTCCAAATATTCCACTGATTACTGGACATATAGTTATGACAGAAAGCCTAATTTTAAAGTGTCATCTAGCAGTCCTAATAAAGGTAGCTAAATAGAGTACTCACTTGAACAGAGCGGGTCCAAACACAACAGCTAAGTTTTCCAGAGTCATGAAATTCACTGCACTGTGTGTTGCTACCTTTAACAGGAAAGCAGACAGGAACTGAAGAAGGTTCTGATGAGCTTTGGGTAGGCAGTTGAGCAATTGTCTCAGGTTCTGTATGCATTCTGTTGTGTGAATTTTGTGCTCTGGGGAGGAAAACAAAAGTGACACAGATATTCCTAAAAATAACACATTTTCATCATAGACATTTTTATTGATCTGAGAAAGAGGGAAGGTTTTAAAATACATTAGAGCAAAATAATAAATAATTATGTCCTAAACAAGAATTTGTACACTAAATTTTAAAAACAATTTTCATATATCAATATTTAAGTACCATGGATTTTCCAGATACTGATTATTATATAGACTGTTTCTGCTATTCTTCCTGTGATGACAGAATCATCTGGTACTGGCTGCTTTTTAAATGGAATCGCAGGCAGTAGGCATTTACCTGAATCCTTAAAAGTACCTTTAAGGATGACATAATATTGTCAGCCTTGATTATCCCTAGAGATTTTATGCATGCTGTATGAGTCTCATTAAGAGGAATAAGAAACTGTACCCTTTCAGCCCCACATTATCTTCACTTCCTGACTAACTGGTACTCTCAGTCTCAAAAATTTTTTGCTCTATAAATATGCAACAGTAGTTACACAAGAGATGTTTAAAATCTAAACTGGGGATACTTAGCATTTTCTAGGTTCTCATTCTTCAAGTAAGAGTTACAAAACAGAAAATGGGTTCACAAACATCTTTATTTGATCAGCAGTTCAGAATTAGTATGATAAAGTCTCCTGGTTATTTAGGACCAAGATGACAGTACTGCTCAAAAATTGGCATCTGATGCTCAATTCTGCCATACGTCACCAGCACACATCAGTGTAGCTCTGACATTGTGAATCAAAAATCATGCTCTAAAGGTCAATCTTAGCCCTAAAACCAAACATTTCATGGAGGCACCCATGGTGCTCAACTTATTAATGAGATATATGGAGAAGGGAATGAAGTAAAAAATAATTAGAATTAGAATTATAATAAAAAAAAAAAAAAGAAATACCAGCAAAACTGTTCAGGGCAGTCAAAAGAAGGTGATGGCAAAAAAGCATAAATCATTCAACACGGACTTGCATAGGTCATGAAAGTGACTTTTTTTCCTTTTTGTTTTTTTGTTGGTTTGTTGGTTTTTTTTTAGTAAAATACATACATAAAACTTGGCATTTAGCAGATGAAGTTTGAACAAAAGCAACCTGCATTCTAACTCACAAAACCCACTTATTTGTATGCATATTTGTACGCAAATATCTGCAAGAAATAGCTCTAAAATCATTAGGCAGAATTATCTGAACACATTAGCTCAGCTATTATAAACATGAGTAGGGAACTAGACAGTGTATTATTGTAGGCACTTATTTTGGCTTTGCATTTTGAATACTTTATGCTGCTCCACACACTGCTGTCCAAGCAGACTCTAAGAAAACTAGTAAAAAGTCCTAAATAGGAACAGGGATGTACAAAAAGGCTTCTGAACATAGGAAGGTTAAATAGAGAAAGAGGCTCTATCTTGGAAAAGACTGAAGTGAGGCAGTGGCTATACAAAGCAGCATGCATTATGATGGTGATTTGATTAAAAATAAAAACATTATCCCAGCAACAGTTATCAACTTTAAAAAGAAGGCATGCAGAAGATGTCCTTTCTCAATAAATACAGGATTGGATTTCAGAATGACTTGCCACAAGATGCTGGGGAGTCTGAAAGCCATAATGAATTTAAAAAATAAAGGTTCTAGACAAGTTCAGGGAAGATTGGTCCATCAGAAACAAACATCAGTCTCAGGTTAAGGAAACTTAAACCCTTGTTTACAGGAAGGTGCAATGAACACATTATCTGTCACTGCCAAAGAAAGGACAGAAGCTTGGAATGTGCCTGTTCTTTACCTTGGAAAGTGTTTAACAAGCCAGAACAGATGTTGTCTGGAAAAACAGCCACTGGCAGTTCTTTCAGAAAGAGTTTCAGGAGACTGGCAACAGAATCAACATCTCCATCAGTAACAAGGTCTACTTTTTCTCCTTGATTGTATTTCTGCTTCAATTCCTTGATTTTATTTACTGAGCCACTGATTCGAAATATACCAACATGCTCAAGGCCTGTTTAAGAAGAAATATGAAACAGTAAGCAATGGCTGTATTACCATACCTGTCTGGTGAAAACTGAATCTCAAAAAGAAAGAGCTCCTCTAAAAAAAAACATAATAATTGTAAAAATATACTTCAGCAGTTACAGCTGAAAAATACAGTTTAAACAAAGAGTAACAGTTTTCAGAAACCAAACAAAGATGAACTTACCAAATGCTTCCAGGTACTCCACCATCTGTGTCACAAGAAGAGGAACTCCATATTGCGTTGCATCCTGTATGAGGGTTTCCAGAGGAACACCAAACGTGCTTCTTTCTCTGAGATCTGGTGAGACTTTACTTGTTGTGTGCCTCACTTGAATAGAAGATAAAGATTTCTGGGGAATAAAAAGAGGCAAGTGATAAGCAGAAATGGCTTTTATTATTTTAAGGGCTAAGGGTCTTAGGTAAAGGTAAGGTAAAGGTAAAGGTAAGGGTCTTAACCTTAGGTAAAATTACTGTCCTCATTATAGCATCTTAGTACAGATTCTACTTCTACTGCATGTTCTTAAAATACTAATATTTTTCTTCTGTACAGCTGAGGCAGGGCCTGCAATGGCATAAATCTTAACAAAACACCTTTATACTTACATTCAGAGAAAATGGGGCTTCAGGTCAAGGCAGATGCCCTGCTTAAGACAGGAAGGAGTTGCAAAAACCCTGCCTCAAGAGCCCCAGCACTTAGGAAAAAGGCTGACCGAGGGCTGGTGCACAGCCTTCCAGCCATGTGAAATGTGCAAATTTGTACCCAACTCACCAAGATAAAACATGCAAGATTCATAAAGAAGCCAGAATGGGAATTTATGCAGCAGCCACGGCATGAGCCTGGTAAATGGTTCCCATCTGCTCACCTGGTTATTCCAAATTTCTTATCGCAGTAGCAAATGCAAAAACACATAAGAAGTCATGAACAACCTGCACTCAAGAGCTGCTTTGTCACCTTGTTCAGACAGAGGCTGCCCAGTACACTTGCTATCACACAGGTGCCTGCACTAGGGTCTGCAGCAGGGTTCAGGGGCCTCTGTGAGGGAAGGGGGCTGCCCTGAGCAGGGCATGGAGATTCTGGTTGGTTCTAGAAGCTTCCACTGCCAGGCCTGCTGAGCCCCTCAGCCCTGCAGGTGGTGCCTCAGAGAGATGCATGCAAGAGAGAAGGAAATGCAGCGGGGCCATGAGGAGCCCTTGCTCTCCTATACCCTTTCTCTCCTCTTACACCCCTCTGCTTTGCCTTATAAAGGGGTGACATTACTCACTGTGCTATGTTTTAGAATCATAGAATAGTTAGGGTTGGAAAGGAGATTAAGATCAAGTTCCAACCCCCCTGCCATGGGCAGGGACACCTCACTCTAAACCATATTACCCAAGGCCTCTTCCAACTTGGCCTTGAACACTGCCAGGGATGAAGCATTCACAACCTCCCTGGGCAACCCATTCCAGTGCCTCACCACCCTAACAGGAAAGAATTTCCTCCTTATATCCAATCTAAACTTCCCCTGTTTAAGTTTTAACCCATTACTCCTTGTCCTACCACTACAGTCCCTAATGAAGAGTCCCTCCCCAGCATCCCTATAGGCCCCCTTCAGATACTGGAAGGCTGCTATGAGGTCTCCACGCAGCCTTCTCTTCTCCAGGCTGAACAGCCCCAACTTTCTCAGCCTATCATCATACGGGAGGTGCTCCAGTCCCCTGATCATTCTCGTGGACCTCCTCTGGACTTGTTCCAACAGTTCCATGTCCTTTTTATGTTGAGGACACCAGAACTGTACACAATACTCCAGGTGAAGTCTCACAAGAGCAGAATAAAGGGGCAGGATCACCTCCTTCGACCTGCTGGTCATGCTCCTTTTGATGCAGCCCAGGATACGGTTGGCTTTCTCGGCTGCAAGCGCACACTGCTGGCTCATGTTCATTTTCTCATCGACCAGCACCCCCAAGTCCTTCTCCTCTGAATCTCTTCTCTGCCCAGCCTGTAGCTGTGCCTGGGATTGCTCCGACCCAGGTGTAGGACCTTGCACTTGGCATGGTTAAACTTCATGAGGGAAAAACTTCATCAGCCCACCTCACAAGCGTGTCAGGGTCCCTCTGGATGGCATTCCTTCCCTCCAGTGTATCAACCGAACCACACAGCTTGGTGTCATCGGCAAACTTGCTGAGGGCGCACTCAATCCCACTCTCCATGTCAGCGACGAAGATGTTAAACAAGACCAGTCCCAACACCGATCCCTGAGGGACACCTCTCGTTACTGGTCTCCAGATTTTTTGCCCTCATTTTCCTACCAGGCAGGCTATGCTTGCAATCACAAAGCAGAGGACCTGTTTCCACCATGCCATGAGAACAGAAGTCCAAACCAGGAACACCTGGATTTACCAGTTCTGTGTCAGGAATAGTAAAACAGTACCTGCATATCATTTTAAGGGGGGATTTTACTATACTGTAGCTTTATCCCAACACATTCTAAAACTAGGCTCTTAAATGTTTTTGTTACTATGTTTTCTGAAGGAAAAAGGAAAGACTTCCTCATCGATTTGTAGCTGAACCACTATAGAAAAGCTATTTTTCAGCTTAAAAATATCTATCCCTTAAGTAAAGGCCCAAGCCAGAGCTTGAGGAGGCCACGTCCAGCAGTGCTGCTGTGGTGAACACACACAAACATGCACTGAAACCCTTAGACCCATTTCACTCTTAGAACATGATGTTAATGCTGAAGCCATAATTACCTAAAAGGAACTAATATCATATTTTATAGCATTTTTATAGCATATTTTATAACATATTTTATAGCATTGTTAATATATAAGCTGCGAAGTCTTAAAAAAAGTCTCTACAGTATTTATGATATATTACTCTAAATATCTCCTCTTTCCCTCTTCAGATGCAGCAGCTGGGTTGGGGGAAGAAGTACAGCCTTCTCAGAAAGAAAAAAAGATCTAAGAAAGGACTCAAGAAGCCAGATTTAAGTTCACTTACACAGATTGAAAGGGAAGCACTTGTTCCCATATTAGACTGCAGGAGTGTCAATATTTCAGCTGTGCTGTTCAGACGACACCATCACCTTTCTTCCTTTCACAAACCCAAGCAGTCTAGCCAAAGCTGTTCCTCGGTAATTAACTTACTGTAGCATAATTGCTAGGCATCATCTTAATCAGTAGTTTCACTCCAGATTTTGTCAAAGGTAGAAATTCAGTGCTAGCAGAGGTGGATTCCTTGTAACCAGCACTTGCTTCCAGAGAAACACTGCACAAGCTAATATATGTGTTACCATCAGATGTTTCCATGGACCCAACACACACAAAAGCACAGCTTCCTGGAGCATGCTGACTGTGTGCTTGATATTTACTTCTGAGTGGGATTTTTCAAGACAGGTTTGCAGATATTCATAGTACCTGCTGTCCATTCTGCCTGCTAGCAGCAGTTAAGTAAAATATTTTGAGATGACTTGCAGTGTATGCGTATTACAGATACACATTTATATAACACCTGCACAGTCGTTTGGTAAACACACAAGCAAGGATCTATTCAGCCTTTGAAATATAGTAGATGTAGATGCTGTTAAGCCCAACATCTTCTATTATAATACTTTCAGATACAAAGCCTCTGCTAGGACTGCTGGTTCAAAATAGATGGCAATTCCCTCTTCCTTAATAAAGAGAATATCACTTTAAAATAGCACAGATTTTTAGCCCACTTACCTCTCCCCAAGTTCCCACAATGAGGTCTGGCAATGCTATGGTTTAAGGCTTTTTTGTCTACCTGGCATGAGAAGAGACCTCACAAAGGTGACAACCTTGTTCTCAACTTAGGTTATGCCAACCCACACATGGGCAGAACATGGCTAAATCCCTAGTGAGTAGAGTTCACGGCTGAGCAAAAATTCTTCACTGCTGCCCCCAGGTCTGTGCTTTCTAGCCCTCAGAAAATGACGCATTCACCCTCCTGTGCACCAGAAGTGGCTGGCTGACTTGTCTGGCCCAACGGGCATTTGACCCTGTCATGGTTTAAGCCACGACATGTGTTTTCTCCAAGATACACGGGCCATTCCCACACCACAGCTGACTCTCCTCAAGCCCATTTTGGCCAGTGCAATGTAGCCACTGAGAGGGGACACCACATACAACCCATGGCTACCTGCTAGTGCCTGTCTTTCCCCATCCCTGGCAGAGGCAGCCTTGTCTCATCACTGCAGATGTGCTGCACCTGGGCCCATCACCACAGCTGTGGCTGCTTGAGGGACCCTGTCCCTGTCCTGACCCTTCTAGCACTGCCACCTTACGGAATTAGCCACTTCATGGTTAAGCCTGTTCACAGCTGTTGGGCCCACAGGCAATGTTGAGGCTGATGGCACTGTCCCCCCCAGCACTGCTCTGTATAAAAGTGACTGCTAAAAAAGAGAAGAGAATGTGCTGGGCCTGTGATTGTCACCTGTCAGAGCAGTATGGTGTCCAGCACTCATATCTGAGAGGATACAGAGGGCATTTTTTTCTGCAACATCCCCTCCTCTCCTGCATTCAGCTCCTCTGCCCTGCCACCATTGCCCTCCAGCCACCATACCCAGTGCTTTCCCGCCCTCTGTGCCTCACATACTTCATCACTGTGTTTGCAAGGCAGCTGGAGCAGGAGCTGGGTCCCTTTGAGACAGACAAAAGTACAAGGCACTCAGAGCCACAAGCATCCCAGCTTCCCATGCCCATGGGCTGGCAGCAATTTGCTCTCTGCAGAGTAACATCTCACAAAAAGGCCTGTGCAAAAAAAATCCCAAAATTAAAAACCAAACCCCATCTCTCTAACTCTGCTGCCCACCCAGAGCACATTTCCACCTTCCATCTTACTAGATGTCACAGGAATCATCCTGATGACATATCACTCTCCCCTGCTTCAGCTGAGCATGTGAACTCAAGGCAACACATTTTAAAGCAACAAATTCTCTACCTAAGCAACAAGCACACTTGTTTTTCTATTGGATCATCACAGGGCAAACAAGGCAGCAGCAACTGCAATCAGCCTCTTGGTCCCTACTGCTCCTGTAACTGCAATTACTGAAGATATTTTTTTCAAGACTCGCCTTCAGAATTCATCAAGACTTACAGAAAATGAAGTCATTTCAGTTCCCCAGAAACCTTCAACAGCTAGAGGGCACACGAGGCTTGCTGGAGAGGTGGTCCTGCAAACCCCGTTTCAGACACAGCAAGGAGCCCCAGGCTCTGGACAGGATTTTCCTTTTGTGCAAAATAACATAGATCAGAGGGATTATTTCTCCTCGCATCGGTGTTGTACAAAGAGCAGAAGGCCACAGGCAGTACAAATTAAACATCTAATTGCTCACAGAGTGTAGCTGCAATTCAAACCCTTCCTTCACAACCTCTGGATCAAAGTCAGGCCCTGCAGGACTTCAGCTATATGAACTGGATGTATGGTACTTTGAGCAGACAACCTGACTTCAGGGTATGTGTCTAAATTAAAACCAAAACTTCTGGTCTCCTAGCACCCTGCTGCCCAGGGGGAGGCCTGTGAGGAAAGGCAGTGCCCTGGTCTGTGTGGTCCGCAGTGCTGGGAGAGCCCCCACAGCTGCTTTGTTACTCCCTTCACTAGGAGCATGGTCACCAGCTACTGAAAAAGCTGCTCTTGAGGGTTGGTGGTGTCTCAAAAACACAGAAAAATAATAAACATTAAAGGAAAACAGAAAAGCTTAGTTTTCTTCTTAGAAAACGAGATTTTTAAAGAAAGCATTAGGAACAACAGGATCCCTGTGAGAGAAGGCAGAGGTAAATCCACTGTCAGCAGCAGTAAAAGACAATAGCAGCAAGAAAAATAATTAACCAAGGCTTCCTGGCTCATTTCAGTTTTCCTGCAAAGCTGAAGCAGCCTGTTCCGCTAACCTAGTGATCTGTGCCTCAGCTTCAGGAGTCTCCAAGCCTCCAGCCAAATAGGAAAGAAAGCCCTTCTTGGTGGGCAAAAGCCGAGCAGCCAGAACGTGTGCCCTGCGGGGAGACTGTGTGGTGATGCTGTGTGAGCAGTCCTGCCGTGGCACAGATCCAGCTGGAGAGGCCACAGTGGCTCTGGATTAGAAGTAAACACTGGGGAAAGCAGCTCCACTGATCCCAGCTGCAGCCTTTGAGCACTGGATGATCAGTGCAGGAGTAGGACCCTGGGCTTCATAAATAAATGCATAAAGCTTGACCTGAAGCAAAGAAATTTAATTGAATTGAAACTGCTAGCCATCCCCTCCATGACATGGTCCTCATTATCCAGTGGCAACTTCAAAAGCAACTTTTCAAGGACATGCAGACATACAATGCTGATAAAAAAAAAAATCAATACTGTATGTTTTACATTTAAAGCACTGTTTCAGTCACATGCTTATCTTCTGGCATCTCAGAATTTGTGCTGCCTTAATTTTAATTGTGTTAATGACTTGATGTATTTAGAGAGTTTAGGTCTTTTTTTCTTGTTTTTCAAATGGATAACTGCAGAGAAGAAAAACCCTTGCAGTGTGTCAAGAGGTCAGAGAACACCATAAATACAAGCTAATCAGCTTATGAAACCACCACTAAGTTTGTCTCATCTGTAGGAAACACCCCAGACTCTTTGCAATTCCTCTGCTGGAGCTGCTAGATTATGCTGTTAATACAGGAAGATTATGAACAGCGTTGCATTCAAAACACTGGACATTACCAGTTCACATAATCAAACTCATTTCAGCTGCTTTAAAAAACTCTTCTTCCCATATATACCATAAACAGCAATCTAGTGGAGGAAAAGGTCACAGGGTAGCATCCCACAGGAACTCATAGCTAATGGTACTGCTTTTTGCAGCTTGCCAACAGGCAAATCAGCACACATATCCTGGCCAGCCTTCAGCACCCGCAGCTCTGAGACAGTATGCCATCTCTTGCCCAACCCAGCACCAGGGCCTGGGGGCAGCAAGGGGTAGAAAGGACCAGACCCTGTGGGAGCCAAGGGAAGAGGAGGAGAAGCCGCTTTGAGACAAGAAAGTGTAAGGTGATGTTGTAACAGGAGTTATCTGTCTCCAATGCACTGTTTAGAACCATTTTGGAAAAACACTGTTTTGGGTGGGGAGCTCAGAGGAAAGCCACAGGCATAAGTAGGACCTTTGTTGCTCTGACTTTACAGTTTATCTGACTTTTAAAAGAAGGATAAAACACCATGACAAGCCCATAAACCCATGTCAAGTGTCTGTGCTGACCTCTTAAACTTCAGAGCTAACAGCTTCATCAAGTAGGATTAGAAATGCCACAAAGTCTTAGAGATTTGTCTGAACAGAAGGAAAACAGAAAAATTGCATTGTTTCCTCCCTGGCTGAAAATACTGAAGACCCTCGCATTCAGGGATACATTTTTTCCTTCATCTTTGTCATTTTTGGGATCAGCATGATCACTTGTTCCATGCACTATGTTGTACTGGTTGCACCATCTCAGCCTTGACAAGCCTTGTGCCCCATAAAAAAGCCCCATAAAAGCATCCCTCAAATATCATTAGAAACAGTCAGGAGGCACAGATGGGTTTCCATCAGATGAACCTGTCTTACTGGCTTTTGAAGCAGGTTTTCATTGCCACTCTAAACACACAGCTTTTGTGTGTTTTCTTTCAATTCATCATGAGCTACTTTAAACTGGAAAATGAGTAAGTTCTGAAAAATTGCACATTTTAAAGTATATGGAGAAACTATAGTGAGTCTCAAATGAAAGGGAAAAAATGGAAATATGAGCTACAACCAAGACAGAAATACAGATGGGGAAAAAATGCATCTAGTATTAGGCAATCATTGGCAAGAAATGAGGCATGAAAAAATAGTATTTCTATTTTAATAACTACTGTATCAGTATACTTTCCTACATTTTAGCTGCTAACAGCCATAGCCCAAAATTTAGAGAATGCTTACCACATATCTCTCATCACAGTATTTTGACTGCCAACTATGTCTACTCGCCAAGCTACATTATCAGAAAGGAAAAGTTGCTGTCCTGACAAGAAAGCAGCTGTCCCCCACTGCTACATGCATTGCTTTTCACTGCGCTCATGGAATGAGTACACAGGCCACAATCCAGGCAAACTCTTGTCAGCTGCCACAAGCATCCCTCTTAGCTTTGTGGTTTTATTGATTGTGTAATCTCCTCAGGATGTGGATGTCCAGGGTCAGATGGGTTACGTCTCCATGGCCAGAGCTAGGCAGGTGCAAGGGAACTGCACCCTTCTCCATGAGCCAGACATGTTAGTCTGGTGCTGTGCCTGAGCAAATATCTCCTGAGCCACGGCAAGGCTCTTTGTTACAGTAGATGCAGCATTACATTAACTCACCTGGCAAGCCTGGAGTTGCTTCCCTCAATCTGCACCCATCTCTGGCAAGTGATGTGTTGGTGTCCTGTGGTGGCTCAGCAGAACCTATTTCCAGGCAGCTGAATTACAGGCATGTGGAGAACTGCCCAGTGAAACAGTAGGAGGCACATGTTCAGACTGCTTGCTTGCCTTTTTTTTTTTTTTTAATCCCAGCCTATTAAACACTCCAGCATCATTTTTCTTTAAAAGGCTTTAGAAAAGTGTGCATAAAGCTGCACACTTCCTAGGCAGCTTTG